CTCCTCCTTCTCCTCCTCCTCCTCCTCCTCCTCCTCCTCCTCCTCCTCCCTCTCCTCCTCCTTCTCCTCCATGGTGGCTGGATTGGGTCGGGCGACCTGTCTCGAGCGGACTTCTCTGGCCGTCGACGGGAGGCCGCGACGCGCGGTCGTCGTGAAGACATCGCGGCAAAACGGACGTTTGACTGCCCTTCGGGCCCCAGAAGGGCCGCGTAGCCAACCTGGCTTCGTTGAGGTCGCCAGCGCAAGCGCTGCGCACTTGCAGGAGTCAGCGTCCCTCGCGCGCGCATGCCTGCGCCGCGAATGCCAACGGGCGAGCTTGAGAAGACCCTGCTTGAAGCCATTCGATCGCCAGGAGCCGTGGCTTCGCATTGACACCTCAGTGAATGAACAAACCGTGCCGCCCACGCGCATGGACCCAGGGCCCCAGGATCTTCCCGGACCGACCCAGCTCGAGAAGCTGGTCATTCAACGACGGCATCGGGAGCTCCGGCCGCAAGCTCTTGCACCAGCTCGTGCGCTTCTTCTCTGCGACGCCAGACGGCTTGGTGGGCGCGATTGGGCTCGCCCGTGCCGTCGGCTCGCTGGTGGCCTCCCCCTGCAGGTCCGCAGCCAGCGGCCAGGCTGCTGTCGCCGGGGCCGCGGCCAGTGCCCCCCCGTCGGCGGCGCGCGGCAGGGGTGGCGGTCTTGTGAGGATCGGGGTGGCGCCCGCCGTGCAACCGCAGACCTGCACCGATCCTGGCCAGGGCGGGCCTTGCCAGGATCGGATCCCCTCCTCCTTCCTCCTCTTCCCTCCTCGTCCCTCCTCGTCCTCCTCCTCCGCCCTCCTCCTCCCTCCTCCTCCTCCTCCTCCTCCTCCTCCTCCTCTTCCCTCCTCCTTTTCCTCCTCCTCTTCCTCCCTCCTCTTCCCTCCTCCTTTTCCTCCTCTTCCTCCCTCCTCCTCCTCCTCCTCCTCCTCCACCTCCTCCTCCTCCTCCTCCTCCGCCTCCTCCTCCTCCTCCTCCTCCTCTCTCCTCCTCCTGCTTCTCCTCCTCCCCCGCCTCCTATAATTCGGATGGCAGGTGTGCTTCTTTGAGGGCGTCGGAGGCCTCGAAGAAGGCTGCTCAGCCTACAGGAGGGCTTCTTCCAGCATGCACCCTGCCGATTCAGAACTGCCCCCACCCCCCCCTCGTGCGCCTCCCAACTGTTGGGCCACTTTCCCCCACCCGCCTCCTCAACAGCCGAGACCCAGCTTTCATAGTAACTACGCGGGGAGCGGGACTCGGGTGACGAGGCGGAGACGGTCGAGGAGGTGGAGGGATGCGGATGGGGAGGAGGTGGAGGACGGGGAGGCGGGGGGGGGGTCGAGGAGATGTTGGAGTGTTGGGGATTTCGAATTGATGGCGAGGGGGTGTCTTTGACGCGTTTCGGGCGAGAATCGGTCTCAGCATGCGGTCTTGCGCCTACCCCCGGCCCTCGAATTTTCGAAGAACTACCTCGTCCCATTGATGCTCAAACCGTCGCGTGACTTTGGGGACTTGCTTTCCCGAGCGAGCGAGCATGGCTGAGCATCCTGAGGGACGTGCGAGCAAAACGCGCCGCAGGATGGCAAGCTGAGTCGCTCTTGAAGAGGGCTGCGGGTCGAGACCTAAGTGCGTATCTTGTCCCGTCCCCTCCCTCCTCACCTCCGCCGCTTGCCCCTCCTCTCCTCTTCGCCTTCCTCCCCCCCCCGTCCTCGCCCCTCCCCACACCCTCCTCTCGTTTTCCCGTCCTCTCCTCTTCCTCGCCTCCCCGGCCTCCGCGCCACTCAAGAGGTTATGCCGCTGATCGTGATGCTTCGCGCCGACCCAGGCCAGGCCGACGCCCAGGCGTCCGCCCTCCCCCCGGCGAGCACGCCAGCGGGGCGCCCTCGGCTACGATACGGACGTCGTCGTTTCTTACCAGGCACGTGGCATCTCCGCGCACGTGAGGGTTACACGTTGGCGTTTGGGCAGACGTGCGGGCCCACACTGCCCTGGGCCGAGACCCTGGGCCCTAGCCGTGTCTCTAAGACCTAACCCTGGGCCTGGAGCCCGGGATGCAGCTCGGCAGCCGGGAGCCTTGAGACGGGGGCCAATGCAAGCAGGGGTCAGCCAGAGCGCCCGATCTTGCAGGATGCTGCAGGGCCAGGGTCGCATTGGCCCGGGTTTGGGTGCAGGATCTTGCAGGATCTTGCAGGATTCTGCAAGGCCTGACTGACCTGGGTCTGGGTTGACCCAGGTCAGCAGATCCCCGAAGTAGGAGCCCCGATCCGCCCAGGAATTTGGGATCCTGGGGTCCTGGTCTCTTCGCCCCGCTCCACCTGAGCGACGAGAGCAAACCGGGGGCCGTCTGCGCCGACATTGGCGCCTGAGCTGCCCGCGCGAGGTCGCGCGCGAGCGCCCTCGTCTCCAATGTAGCTTGCCGCGCTGGCGGCCCGCGTAAGCCAACGCGTAAGGTCGCTGTGCCCTCCTCCTCTTCCTTCTCCTCCTCTCCTCCTCCTCCTCCTCCTCCTCCTCCTCCCTCTCCTCCTCCTCCTCCTCGCCCTCCTCTCCTCCTCCTCCTCGTCCTTCACTCCTCCTCCTGCCTCCCTTCCCTCCTCCCCCTTCTCCTTCTCCTCCTCCTCCTGTTTCGACGGGACCAAACACAAGGTGAATACATCAACTCCTGCGAGCTGCTTCTCCGCATTTTCACTCTCCTCCTCCTCCTCCACCTCCTCCTCTTCATCGTCTCCCTCCTTCACCTCCTGCTGCTGCTGCTGCATCCTCACTCCTCCCCACCTCCTCCCTCCTCCTCATCCTCCACTTCCTCCTCCTCCTCATCTCCACCTCCTTCCCCTCCTCCTCCTCTGTATCCTTCCGTCTCCCCTCCTTCTTCCTCCTCTTCCTGCTGCTCTCTGCTCCTCTCCCTCCTCCTCCTCCTCCCACCTCCCTCCCTCCCTCCCTCCCTCCCTAACTCCCTCCCTCCCTCCCTCCCTCCCTCCCTCCTTCCCTCCCCACCACTGTTCCCACCACGGTTCCACTCTCCCCACGTTCTCCACGGCCCCAACCATTGCCCGACTGTCCGCAGTGTCCTCACTGTCCCAGTGTCTCCTCCGATGTCCCACTGAGCTGTCCCACTGTTCCCACCACTGTCCACACTGTCCCCACCAGTGTCCCCATCGTACCTCTGTCCCATTGTCCCACCGCCGTCCTCACCACCGCCCTCACCCGTGTTCCCACCACCACTGTACCCACTGTTTCCAACACGTTCCCACTGTCCTCACACCACTGTCCCCACCACCACCGTCCCCACCACTGTCCCACTGTCCCCACTGTTCCCACCATTGTCCACCACCGTCCCCACCACTGTCCCACTGTCCCCACTGCTCCCACCATTGTCCCCGCTGTCCCCACCAGTGCCCCCACCAGTGTGTCAATGTCCCCACTTTCCCCGGCCCGGCGGCGAGAGGGGGGGGGTCGAACCAGTAGTGACCCCCCCCGGTTTTCGAGGGGGGGGGGAGGGGGGTTCGAATCGGTAGTGACCCCCCACGATTTTCGAGGGTGGGGGGAGGGGTTCGAACCGGTAGTGACCCCCCCCCTTTTCATGATGGACCAGGGGGGGGGGTCGAACCGGTAATTAGTGACCCCCCCTGGTTTTCCGGAAGGGGGGGTTCGAACCAGTGGTGAACCCCCCGGTTTTCCGCCAGCAGCGGTAGAACACGCTTTTTCTTTTATTTCGATCGCCGATCCGACCTTTCGATTCGATTCTGGGCTCCCCTGCCCATGCAAGGCGTTCGCCAAAATTCGGCAGAGGACTTTTCTAAGCCTCCCCCGAGGACACAGCAGGCTCCTCAGAAGGCGCGAGAGCTTCTGAGAAGTCCCGCAGCTTCTGGTCATGTTCCAAATCGGTCCCAGACAAGCCACCGTGGCTTCGGGGCGGCCCAAAGGCCCCTAAACGCCCCAAGACTGTTTCAAGATGACTCAAGAGGGTCCAGTACAACACGGTACCGCAGCCTTGCAGTACTCAATAGGGCCCGAAGAGGTAAAACTCGCCCCGGAATGCGCACATTTCTAGCACGCTCGCTGTTTTCATGAGCGCAGCGTCCAAGACGGCCCTCAAAACGGCCCAAGAGGTCCCCCAGAGGGCGCCAAGACGGCCCAAAAGGGCCCCCAGAGGCACCCAGGACCGCCCAAGACGGCCCCAAGAGGGCCCCAAGAGGGGCCCCGGGTGGGGAATCCGAACCCACATTTCGACGTCTCCGCAGTCCCCCGAGAACCCCCTTCCCTGAGAGGACCCGAGAGACACCCAAGAGCCACAAGAGAGGCCCTACGAGGCGTCAAAACTGCCTCCACGAGGCTGCCCAGAGGCTTTCCCAGAGATCCGAACAGGCATTCAAGAGGTCTCACACCAACAAGCCAGGCACGGGCACGGTGGCCCCTCTCTGTCCTCGCATTTCGAGGCCTCGAGCCCACGGGGACCCAGGACACCGCCTGCAGGCCCCCAAGAATTCTCCGAGAGGACCCTAAAGGCCCCCCAAAGACGTAAGAGAGGCCCCAAGAGCCCCCCAAACTGCCCCCAAGGTTCTTCAGAACAGTTTCCAAGAAGTTGCCCAGAGGGTTCCCGAAAGACCCCCACAGGCATCCAAGAAGCTCGACCAGCATCCCAGACACGGTGGCAGCATAGGTCGCAGGCTTCTTTACGGTCGACCCGCATGGTAAGGATAGGCAACCTTCCCAATGGTACCCATCGGTCAAGTAGGTATTTTGGAGTCCCAGATTCCAATCTACTTTGAGCGCCTTCCTACTTCAATAGTCGAGTGGCTTCACCATTTCCGTCCTCTTCAGGGGGCGCTTGGACACCCAATCTAGTTTCAACGCCTTCATACTTTATGTTTCCACTTACTTCTTCCGACCGGTGGGTAAGAATGGGCAGCCTTCCCAAGGATACTCTTGCATCCTTGCCTCCTCGGTCCATCCTTGGCCACTTTCGTTGGCCGCGCCCCGCTCGAAAAGCTTCGAAATGGGCGCCCAAGGCCCTTGCATTCTTATCGCGCATTCTTATGATACGGGCCGACTGTAGGAGGTACACATGTGGACGAGTGGCCCCGTGGCCCCTCCATTCTGTAATGTTGTTTTTTTTCTGTTCGTCTTCGGAGGCTCCGCTTCTCCTTCTGCTCCAGTTTTCCTTGCCGTTCTGCCCTCGTCTTCGTCGCCTTCATGCCTGGACTCGTCTCCCCTTTCCCGACCTCCAGACCGCCGCCCAATCGTCCTCTGGCGTCGTCCTCCTGGACACCTCCGTGCGCTCAGGGAAGGACCGTTTACTGCGTGTGCCCGCAGCGTCTTCGAACTCTACAGCTCTGTCCGCAGTCCTCGCCCGACCCTCGACACCTCACTGCGAGCTGGGATTCCGGAGCACCTGAATACGCGCGAAGCGCGCGCGTTTTGTTCTAGTGCCCATACGATGAAGTGGATACCCTTACGCCGATGTTATATCCCAATATCCCAGCCAGTGTTGTAGAGAGAGAGAGGGACAGAGGCAGAGAGAGAGACAACCTACGATATAGAAAGATAGATAGAGCGGGAAGGAGGGAGTGAGGGAATGGTGGAATGAGGTTGACAGATATAGAGAGAAAGAGAGACAGAGAGAGAGAGAGAGAGACAGAGAGAGAGACAGAGAGAGAGACAGAGAGAGACATCAGAGTGAGGGGGCTGAACCGAACGGTCAGTCACTGTCCCTGGGTGCGTGGCTGAAGTGGAATTCCGCTATGCGGATTCTTGTTGTTGTTGCTGATGACGACGACGACGACGACGACGACGACGACGACGACGATGATGATGATGACGACGACGACGACGACGATGATGATGATGATGATGCTGATGATGATGCTGATGATGATGATGATTATGATGATGATGATGATGATGATGATGATGATGATGATGATGATGATGATGATGATGATGATGATGATGATGATGATGATGATGTTGATGTTGTCGTTGTTGTTGTTGTTGTTGTTGTTGTTGTTGTTGTTGTTGTTGTTGTTGTTGTTGTTGTTTTTTGCTTGTTGCTTGTTGTTTGTTGTTTGTTGTTGTCGTCGTCCCACCCGCGACCCACCCCGCGACCCGCCCGCGACCCACCCCGCGACCCACCCGCGGCGACCCACCCGCGACCCAAACCGCGACCCACCCGCGACCCACCCCGCGACCCACCCGCGACCCTTCCGCGACCCACCCGCGACTCACCCCGCGACTCACCCCGCGACCCACCCCGATACCCCCCGGCGACCCACCCGCGACCCACCGGCGACCCACCCGCGACCCACCCGCGACCACCCCGCGACCACCCGCGAACCCACCCGCGACCCACCCGCCGGAGCCACCGCGACCCACCCGCGACCCTCCCGCGAACCCATACCCGCGACCCCCCAAAATTTTTTCGCTCCCGGGTAGGGGTTTCTTTTTGCTCTTTCTTTTCCAGGTGGAGAACTAGCGACCCACCCTGACCCAAACCGCGCACCGCGACCCGCCCGCGACCGCCCACCCGCGACCCACCGCGACCCACCGGCGACCCACCCGCGACCCACCCCGCGACCCACCCAAAATTTTCGGCGCCCGCGGCGGGCTTTTTTGCATTTGTTCCAGGTGGAGAACCTGCGACCCACCTGTGTACAAATCAGAATTTGCTTCGCCTGCGGCGGGCTGTTTTTAAATAGATTCAAGGTGGAGGTGGAGAGCCCGCGACCCACCCGCGACCCAAACTACGTGCACTGAACAAGTCAAAACTTCGGCGCCTGCGGCGGGTTTCTTTTGCATTCGTTCCAGGTGGAGAACCTGCGACCCAAACCGGGTTCAGTGTACAAATCAAAATGTTCGGCGTCTGCGGCGGGCTGTTTTTGAATAAATTCCAGGTGAAGGTGGAGAGCCCGCGACCCACCCGCGACCCAAACTACGTTCACTGAACAAGCCAAAGATTCGGCGCCTGCGGCGGGCTGTTTTTGCATCCGTTCCGGGTGCCGCAGGAGGAGGAGGAGGAGGAGGAGGAGGAGGAGGAGGAGGAGGAGGGCGCCATCGACAGGGAAGGTGAGGGCCACGAGATCCGCGGGCTCGACACCCGCGTCGCCCGCGCCCGCCCCCTCACTCTTATCCGCAATTGCGGGGTGCTACGTAACAGCTTAGCAGGTCTAGCGTCCTCGATCATGCCTCGAGTTCACGAACTCGAGTACTTGAGACCATGGGCCTCGTGTTCTGAGCCACACATTGGCTGCGGTCGAGGCAGGACAGGAAGGGAGGAGAACGAGGAGGGAGGATCCGGGGGATGAGGGTGTGGGGACGACCACCGCAACGACGACGACGACGACACGCGCCCGCGGGGCAAGCGTTCGCCGCGCGTCGCCAGGGGAACACTGCCCTCGACGTGGCTCGCGACAGGCCTGCTGGCAGGGGCTGGAGGGAGGCTGGGTGGGAAGGAAGGGGGCAGGGGTGCCAGTTACTGGTTTGCGTTGTTTCGGGCTAGGGTCGAGGATCGACTACGGAGGATCGACTACGGAGGATCGAGGATCGAGGATCGAGGAGGAGGATGAGGAGGAGAAGAAGGAGGACGACAAGTGGTGCAAGGAAGCCGATCGTGGGGGGGGTTCGTCGGTGTGGGCGGAGGCTGCTGCCCCCTCGGCTCCCGCTGCGGCGGGGCCGACTGGCGCCTGTGGTAGCTACGGGTTTCTCAAGAGCGAGCGCGGCGCAGCAAGAGGGGGGTCCTCATCCTCCTCCTCCTCCTCCTCCTCCTCCTCGTCCTCCTCGTCCTCCTCGACCCTCCTTGCTGGTCCGTCCGAGCGCCCGCTCCGGGGGGAGGCCCTGGGGACGGGGCGTGGCGGGCGCGGGCGTCGCGCGGAGGCCGTCCCGCACAGGGAGCGGCGGTGGCGCCAGGATGCTCGAACTGCGCCGTCGTCGCCCGTGGAGCCCGTCGTGAAAAGACCGGCAAAACCGCCTGTCTCCCCGCAGGCCGAGCAGCCGTCGCTTTCTTGTCCCCCCTTTTTTCCTGAGCAGATCCACCGCCCAGACGGGGATCTGATGGGCTTGTTGTCCACCACCACCACCACCATAAGTTGGAGGGGGGAAGGAGATGGAGGGCGAGGAGGAGGAGGACGACGGGCCCCGCTTCCATGGGAAATCGCGGGTTTCCGCCGCCGAAGGAGGCGGCGCTGGCCGCATTTTGGGGAGGGCGTCCCCCCCGATCCATGGAGTTGGCGACTGCGCGCCGAGTCCATGGATCGCCAATCCATGCTTGCGCGCCCCCGAACGGATGCTCGAACCGAGAGGGTGGTTTTGTGTGAACGCAGCGGTATTCCGGTCGTGTGCTTGTGCGTGTCCTGGGCCGCTGGCGCCGTTCCCTGGTCGGAGCTGGCCTCCAAGACCTGGGAGGGGTCCCTCCCTCGGGCCTACTCTCGCGTCGTCTTCCCCTTTTTCCTTCCTCCCCTCCTTGTCTTCTCTCCTCTACCGCGGAGTTGGGGCGAGGGCCCCCCCCCCTCGTTCTCCTCCGTCCTCCCTTCTCTCCCGCTCCGCCTCCTCTCGCTCCTCCTCTCGCTCCTCCTCTCGCTCCTCCTCTCGCTCCTCCTCTTCTCCTCGTCCCCTCCCTCCTGCCTCCTCCTGCCTCCTCTTCCTCCCTCCTCCCTTCTGCCCCCCACTCTCCCTCCTTCCTCCACCGCGTCGCCGTGGTCGCCACCGCTGTCGTCCTCGCCGCCCTCGCCCGTCGCCTGCCCCCGGCCAGGCACCACTGGAGCTGCGTGCACGTCCTGGCCGCCCTCTCCGCCCGCCGCGCCTCCGATTCGCCGTCGCGCCCGGCTGCGGACGGCGACTCCTCGCAAGGCGCCAGGGCCAGCTCGGCCTTCCTTCCTCCGCCCTCCCGCTGCGCCCTGCTCCCCCTCCTCCCTCCCTCCCCAATCCTGCTCCCCCTCTCTCTCCTGCGCCTGCTGCTGCTACTCATTCTCGTCCTCGTCCTCCTCCCTCCCTCTTCCTTCTCGGTCCTGTCCTTCTGCCTACTTCTGTGCCTATCTCTCCTGCCCCTCGTTCTGCTCTTCCTCTTTCCTCAGTTTCCTCCCAAGGGGGGGAGGAGTAGTGTCGCTTCCCCTCTGCAAGCCAGTGCCATACACTGCGCCAGAGCTGCAATAATATTTGCCCCTCAGTATATACTCCTTACCGCCGATGTTTGAACTTCAGGGTATGGCTCAGATGAGCTATGCCTGCTGATGATGAGCCAGATCAGCTGCACCGCTGGCAATTTCCTGATCTATGAAACACACGTTATGATCGCACACATCGGTGCCATAGTTGATTCTTCTTCTTTTTCTAACTCTGAGCTAGCATGACTATACCGCTGGCATAAGTTACCAGTCCAAGTGATTTGCGCTTCGCCGAAAGGCTGGATGCCCAGCGCAAACATGGCAACATCTGCCGATCGTGTCGGGACGGTACAGGACCTGCCCTACCTGCCCCAGGAAGCGCTGCCTCGGGTACAGGTCTTGACCACTACAGCGGCAGTACGCGGGATGGGCACACCGAGAATAGGTTTTAGGTTTGAATACAGTCAAACCGCATAGAAAGGATGGGCACTTTTCACAAGGGCACCTTTGCATCCTTGCCTCTTCGGTCCATCCTCGGCCACTTCCGTTGGCCGCGCACCGTTCGAAAAGCTTCGACATGGGCTTCCAATGCTGCCAAGGCCCTTACATCCACATCGCGCATCCGTACTATATGGGTTGATTGTATCATGCAACCTCGGAGAATGTGCGCGACAATCAGTGGTCAACCAATAAACCATATGCTGTGTTTCATTCCCGTGACGACCTCAGGCGGGGCTCCCAACAGTCAGTGGAAGTGCATGTCGGCCTGTGCTGAAGTCGGGGATGTGCCTCTACAGGAGGAGTATTCACACATAAAACATAGTATGGGGACTACTTCTTGACTATTTTTGAATATTTGTTGATTATTTTTAATGTGCTCTAAATTTCGCCTGTAGGAGAACATGCCCGACCTGAGCCTGTGCTCAGACGGAGGGTTCAATGTAGGACGTCGCCACCTTTTGCCATGCCGCCCCTTCATCGACAAGACGATGGCTGGAAGTATTGCCCACCGTAAGGCCAGTCTACGCTCTGGCACCATCTCCTTTTTGATCGCGTAATGCAATGCTTCAAGTGCTCGGCGTGTGCAGTTTCCGCATCGACGTCGCCTTCGGCGCATGACGGCGAGCCTGGGTCTGCTTGGGAAGTAGAGCCGCAGTCAGCGTCACGGTCGCAGAGAGACGTGATTTCGAGTGGAATTGCGTCCAAAGTGTGGGCAAAGCATCGATTTTACGACATACTTCCAGTTGTAATGAATTGGGGAATCAAGCGCTAGTCCACCGCCGAGTGGTTTCAGTATCGCACGAATCTGCGGGGCATCTCCTATGCGGACAACGCCAAACTGCAGAGGCGAGCTGGCATCCGGGGGCAGTGACGAGCAGTGCAGACTCAACCACGTCAGGAGAGGTGCGACTCGTACACCGCCACATTTGTTTATTGGCTCACTGTGTGTGGACCCGTGAGCCGTGCAATTCTTCAGAATTTGTTGCTGCATGTTCTTCTTCCGTACTTCTTCCTCCTGCACCTACCTCCTCTCCAACAATCCGAAGTCGTGAGTTTAACACGGCGTTGAGAAACAACCACGAGTTCCTGATCTTATCTTTTGTGCGGTATCTCTCGAGTTGGTTCGATCGGGGCCTGAGACGGGGCGGCAGCGGCGTGATTGTTCACAACGCGCAAGCGTGAGAGCCCGTCCTCCAAGCCAGACTTCCCTTCAAAATTGGTCCCCAGACCCCTGGGCACCATCATGCTTGCTCTCAGTGCTGAGCCCAGCTGTGGCGACGACGGGGCCAAACACGGCTAAAAACAAGGAGAAGGATGACGAGGGACGAGGAGGTGGAGTCGGAGGAGTAGGAGGAGGGACGAGGATGGGGAGGAGGAGGAGGAGGAGGAGGAAGAGGTACGGGAAAGGAGGAGGAGGAGGAGGAAGGAGGAGGAGGTGAGGAGGCGGAGTAGGAGGGTGGGGAGGAGGATCGATGAGAGCGGAGTAGGAGGGGGGAGGAGGCGGAAGGGATGAGGAGGAGGGAGGAGGAGGAGGAGGAGGAGGAGGCGGGACCCGAGGAGTAGGGATACGCGAAGGCGGAGGCGGAGGGAGGGCGAGGAGGAGGAGGAGGAGGAGGAGGGACGAGGAGGAGGACGACCACCTCGACGTCGACGGGAAAAACACCATCGGCAGCAAGCAGGAGAGGGCCGCCCCATGCCCGGCGCCGTGCCAGGGGCCTCGCGCGGGATCCCGCCGCCGCCCGACTTCCCGCCACCGCCGCAGCCGGCGGCGGGGCGGGGCGGGGCGCCAACGCTCGCCGCCCGATGTTCGAGGATCGAGGAAGCCCTCCTCTCCCTCCGCCTCCTCCTCCTCCTCCTCCTCCTCCTCCTCCTCCTCCTCCTCCTCCTCCTCCCTAGACTTCTTTCTCTCCTCTCCTCGTGCTCATATTCCCTCTTCTCCCTCTCTTTTATCCTCTCTTTTTCCTCCGCGTCCGATCTTGGCCTCCTCGTCGACGTCCTCGCGCTTCTCCTCCTGGTTCCCCGCGTGCGATTCGGGTCTCCTCTTTGTCGTCCTCATCGCTGAGTTGGAGGGTAGGGGCGAGGAGGGAAGAGGAGTAGGACGCGAAGGAGGAGGAGGAGGAGGAGGAGGAGGAGGAGGAGGAGGAGGAGGAGGAGGAGGAGGAAGGAGGAGGAGGAGGAGGAGGAGGAGGAGGATGGCCATGCGGTTACGCGCCTGATGATCGACGACCTCGGCCCGTACGTGACGGTCAAGGGCCACAGGCTGTGGCAAACCGGGGATTACATCTGGTGCGCACGGTGAGGCAGCCACACCGATATGCGCATCAAGGGCTTGGCTGGCAATTGCCGCGGCGGCATCGCCGCCTCGGCCCGCGGCACCGCCTCCCGCCGAGCCAATCTCGCGGCTGGGCGTGCCCCGCGGGCACGAGTCACAGCAGCAGCCATCGGCCGCCCCACCCGGCTCACTCTCCGGCAGTGGCTTGGGTGGAAGGGCTTGCTGGCTGCCGACGGGGACGCAGACGCCGAGGCCGTCTACGAGGCCTGGGCCGCTGACGCGGTTTTCAGCGACAGCTCCGAGGGGGAAGTCTGACCGGGGGGGCGGTCAGCACGCTTTGCGCGACACACTGTGCCCACAGGGATCGCCAAACCAAAAGGGCTTTCGAGGTGTCGCGCCCGGCCCGTTGCTGACGCTGTCGCGACCTGCCTGGCCCAGCGCGACGGCCTCCTCCCACGAAGGCCTGGAAAGCTGCAAGCCTCTCCCCGAGTCCAGGGCCCCAGGGCCCGAGCACCCTGCATCCTGGGCGCGGAAGAGGAGGAGGAGGAGGAGGAGGAGGAGGAGGAGGAGGAGGAGGAGGAGGAGGAGGAGAGGAGGAGGAAGGAGGAGGAGGAGGAGGAGGAGGGAAGGAGGGAGGAGGAGGAGGAGGAGGAGAGAGGATGAGGAGGAGGGAGGAGAGGAAGGAGGAGGGAGAGGAGGAGGAGAGGAGGAAGGAGAGGAGGAATAGGAGAGGAGGAGAAAGAGGAGGAAGGAGGAGGGATGAGAAGAGGAAGGAGGAGGAAGGAGGGGAGGAGAGAGGAGTAGGATGAGGAGGGAGGGAGGAGGATGAAAAAAGTAGGCGGAGGACGGAGGATCGGATGAGAATTCTGCTGCTGATGAGCTGATTTATCGGCTGCGATCCAAGGAGTGTGATCTACTCGGTCGGCACTGCGGATGCATCTAGTCTTCTCTTCGTCTTCGTCTTCTTCTTTCGGCTCTTTCTTCTTCGTATTCTTCTTCTCTGCTCGACCCGCCCTTTCCTCCTGCATTCTCCTTTGACTCACTCCTCGCAAGTGTCCCGAAAGGTCCACCCGAGCTGTGCCCGCCAGCTCGGCTTGCCGTCGGACCTTGCGCGGATACGGAAACTACACATCGGGGTCGTTGCCATGGAGGCCCTGGTTTCAGAGAGGCGACGATTTTTGACTGCTCCCCTTCGGGCTCCTGCAAGAAGGGGATACGTTTCTTCCCTCCCGAAATCGGCACCGGTGGTCAAAGACGAATGAGTCAGCATGGAGTCGCGGTGGATGTCCGTGGCGCCTCCGCAGGGGGAGGGAGGGAAAGCAGGAGGCCGAGGAGGGTGATGAGGACCTGGATGACGGTGAGGAATTCAAGGGGAAGGGGAGGAGGGGCATGTTGAGGTGGATGATGTACGAGGACGAGGAGGAGGAATAGGGGTAAATGATGCTTTTGAGCAATATGAGCACTGCGATGGTGTATGGTGATTACGGAGTGTGATGATAGAGCGATATGGTGATGGTAGTAGTGGTGGTGTTGGTGATGGTGATGGTGATTGATGTTGGTGTTCTTGATAATGACGACGGTGATGGCGTTGACGATGATGACGAGCGTGGGGAGGCTGCTGCTACTGCTGATGATGACAACGACCGCGGCGACCCCGACTATGACGATGCTGACGACGATCATGATGATGCTGATGATGATGATGATGATGATGATGATGATGATGCTGATGGCGGCGATGATGATGACGATGATGATGATGCTGGTGATGCTGAACAGCATGCTGACGAAAACGCTGCCGATGCGAATGCTGATTTTGATGTTTCTGCAGTTGCTGATGATGATATTGGGTGTTGATGACGACGATAACGATGATACTGCTGATGATCATGCTGCTGCTGATGAGGATGAGGATGCTGATGAGTATTACGATGATGTTGATGATGATGCTGACGGAGGTGATGGTGATAGCGATGATAATGCTGATGTTGATCATGCGGATGATGCCGACCATGATAATTCCAATGCCGGTTATGGGGATGATGTTGATGGTGATGACAATTTTGTTGATCATGTCAGTTGTGACGATTCTGCTGCTGCTGGTGATGATCATTATGGGGACGATGATTATGATGCTGATGCTGATGATCATCATCATCGTCATGATGATGACGATGCTGATAATGATGCTGACGACGAATGTGATGATGATGATGATGATGATGCTGCTGCTGATGCTGCTGATAATGATGATGATGATGATGATGATGATGATGATGATGATGATGATGATGATGATGATGATGATGATGATGATGAGGATGCTGCTGATGATGCTGATGATGACGCCGATGCTGACGCTGATGCTGATACTGTTGCTGATAATGATGCTGAAGTCAATCGGCTATGGTGGTGAGGTTGATGCTGATGACAACGGTGCTGATGCCGATACTTATGAATAGCATGTTGCTGCTGGTGATAGTGATGATGATGCTGCTGGTGATGCTGACGATGATATTGCTGCTGATGATGATGCAGATGCTCATGCTGATGATGACGATGCTGGTGCTGATGCTGCTTCTGGTGATGATGCTGATTTCTATGTGGATGATGATGGCGACTACGATGATGATTATGATGACGATGCTGATGATGATGATGATGATGCTGATGATGATGATGTTGATGGTGATGCTGATGTTGTGGATGATGCTGCTGCTGAGGCTGATGCGAATGATGATGTTGATGATGGCGGCGGGTATGATTGTGCTGTCGCTGAGGCTGTTGACAATGCTGGCGATTCTGCCGTAGATGCTGCTTCTGATGACAACGATGACGATGACGATGCCGACGAATATGATGGCGATGATCATAGTCGTGGTGATGACGATGCTTGTGATGATTATGCCAATGATGCCAATGATGACGATGATGATGATAATGATGATGATGATGATGATGATGATGATGATGATGATGATGGTGGTGATGATGATGATGCTGATGATGATGATGATGCTGATGATGATGACGATGATGATGATGAGGATGAGGCTGAGTATGCTGATTCGGATGACGATGATGATGATGCTGACGATGCTGATGATGATGCCGATGATGATGTTGCTGGTGG